CCGTCCGTCCGCGCGTCTGTCCACCAAAACTCTGTTTTGTCATTTTCTCACGAACTATCTAACTTTCAAAGCTGAAACTTTGCAGATATCTTCCCATGGTCTGTATCTAATAGTGCTGTGAATATCACTGCATTTCGTTGACAAGTGTGGTTTCCATGGCAACCTGACGAAGAAAAACTTAAATCCAAGATGGCGGCCAAACGGCTGGAAATATCGATTTTGACGGCTGGATCGAAAATGATCGCTATCTTATGACAGTGTCACATGCAAAATATGGTAGCTATTGGAGCAATTTTGGCGGAGATATATGCTGTTTTGTGCCGTTTTTATCACTTTTGGCATTTTCACGGTCTTTAATCCAATATGGACGCTAAATGACGCAACTTTTGACAAACAGCTAAGAACATGAAATGTTAAGCGTCTGATGCTGGTCCATTGTGGTAATTTGTAGCACTTTCTATCAAGAACTTTAGCAGCTACGTAGTTTGCAAAGTAAAAATATTAGAGGCTACCAAAATCCAATATGGCCGCCACATCACGTGACTTTTGACATAAGAGCAAGAATAGATCTTGTTCAGCAACCAAACCAAGACTCAACAGAAGTTGTTCAAGTGCCTTACCTCATAAGTTTCCAATGCCAGAGCTAGCTAAAGATGTCCTCTCAAAAGTTTAAAAATAACTTTGAGCCGGAAGTTGGAGTCAATATGGCGGCCATTGAAGACATATCTGAGGATTTTTTCTTTGAAGTTGTTAGTATGGTACTTGGAGCCAAAGTCTGGAGAGTTTGGAAGCTTTTGAGCTGGTAGTTTGAGCTGAGGAGATTTTGGGAGTCAAGTACTGAGATATCTGGTAAAAAACAGTGCCAAAACACTTAATCCGATCTGGAGGCCAAACGGAGCAATTTCGCTACATTGGATGTGTAGAGATTTTGTTGGGCATCTGATTCCGGATCTGTTCAGGAATTTTGGAAGTCTTTGGAGCTTTCTTGGCGGAGATTTTAGCTGTTGAAATTGCGATTTTTAAAGTTGTTTTGAGTTATCTGCCCTTAGTCTTTGAGTCTAGAGTCTTGAGATTTTTGTGGATATAACTTCAGGAGCTAAGCTATCTTTGTGGAAATTTTCAAGAGATTCTGATCAGTAGTTTTGGAGTTCGGATTGGAACAAAAATCGGCGGAATAATAATAATAATAATAATAATAAATAATAATAAATCTAACAATTACAATAGGGCTCTTGCCAGGATGGCAGGGAGCCCTAATAATAATAAACTTAGCAATTACAATAGGGCTCTTGCCAAGATGGCAGGGAGCCCTAATAAATCGAACAATTACAATAGGGCTCTTGCCTTGTAGGCAGGGAGCCCTAATAAGAAATCGTTATTTTTGCGATTTTGGCACTTTTGACCCCGGGATCGGGTAGCTGGACTAAAACCATTTAAAAAAATTCAAGGTCACCAAGGTCACGGGGTCAAGGTCATTTAGGTGGTCCGTAAAACGAAAATGTACTTTTTTTGGCGAGCTCTCACGCGACTGTTATTGCATGTATGGTGGAAGTGATTAGTAATTATGCATTACCCCGACCAGTTCTAGCATATGTATAGGTGAATTTTGATGATATGCATGTCCGCCGTCCGTCCGCGCGTCTGTCCACCAAAACTCTGTTTTGTCATTTTCTCACGAACTATCTAACTTACAAAGCTGAAACTTTGCAAACATCTTCCCATGGTCTGTATCTAATAGTGCTGTGAATATCACTGCATTCCGTTGTCAAGTTTGGTTTCCATGGCAACCTGACGAAGAAAATCTTAAATCCAAGATGGCGGCCAAACGGCTGGAAATATCGATTTTGACAGCTGGATCGAAAATGATCGGTATCTTATGACGGTGTCACATGCAAAATAGGGTAGCTATTGGAGCAATTTTGGCGGAGATATATGCTGTTTTGTGCCGTTTTTATCACTTTTGGCATTTTCACGGCCTTTAATCCAATATGGACGCCAAATGACGCAACTTTTGACAAACAGCTAAGAACATGAAATGTTCAGCGTCTCATGCTTGTGCATTGTGGTTATTTGTAGCACTTTCTATCAAGAACTTTAGCAGCTAGGTAGTTTGCAAAGTAAAAATATGAGAGGCTAGCAAAATCCAATATGGCCGCCACATCACGTGACTTTTGACATAAGAGCAAGAAGAGATCTTGTTCAGCAACCAAAGCAAGACTCAACAGAAGTTGTTCAAATGCCTTACCTCATAAGTTTCCAATGTCAGAGCTTGCTAAAGATGTCCTCTCAAAGGTTTGAAAATAACTTTGAGCCGGAAGTCGGAGTCAATATGGCGGCCATTGTAGACATATCTGAGGATTTTTTCTTTGAAGTTGTTAGTATGGTACTTGGAGCCAAAGTGTGGAGAGTTTGGAAGCTTTTGAGCTGGTAGTTTGAGCTGAGGAGATTTTGGGAGTCAAGTACTGAGATATCTGGTAAAAAACAGTGCCAAAACACTTAATCCAATATGGAGGCCAAACGAAGCAATTTCGCTACATTGGATGTGTAGAGATTTTGTTTGGCATCTGATTCCGGATCTGTTCAGGAATTTTGGATGTCTTTGGAGCTTTCGTGGCGGAGTTATGAGCTGTTGAAATTGCGATTTTTAAAGTTGTTTTGAGTTGTCTGCCCTTAGTCTTTGAGTCTAGAGTCTTGGGATTTTTGTGGTATCTGCTTCAGGATCTAAGGTATCTTTGTTGAAATTTTGAAGAGATTCTGAGCAGTAGTTTTGGAGTTAGGATTGGAACAAAAAACGCCGGAATAATAATAATAATAATAATAAAGAATAATAATAATAATAATAATAAATCGAACAATTACAATAGGGCTCTTGCCTTGTAGGCAGGGAGCCCTAATAATGATGATGATGATGACGATGACGATGACGATGGGTGAGTGAGTGAATATGGTTTTTTCGCCATTCATGGCAATATTCCAGCAATACCACGGCGGGGTACACCAGAAATGGGCTTCACACAGTGTACCCGCGTGGGGAATCGAACACATGTCTTGGGCGTGACGAGCGAAAGCTAAAATATCCCACATACTAGAATATCCCACCGCGCCCGACGACGACGATGATAATGAGGTAGGTAGTTAGATGCTGGCTCTGCAACACTGAACGATTTCATTCCATAAGACCAAGGCTCGGTACTAAATGTTTATTCCTAATACAGGTCATTCATCTTCCCAAAAAACACGCTCGCGTGACAACTTCTATACCTGACATTGGAGAACCTTTCTTCATGTTGATCACTTCCGTACTAACGGAGCGAGAATGTCGTGCAAGACGTGATATGTCGCTGTACTGCTTCAGAAAACAATGAAGGGCGAAGCCGAAAAATTGTTTCATGGGCAGAGGCTCTATATCCCGAAGATGTACTGTTACGTGAATGATCTCTGTCTAACTGTTCTATTACAAGAGAGACCCGTGAAGATCCGGGGTAGAATAGGTCTACAGCAACCCATGCTTGCCGTAAGAGGCGACTGGCAGGATCGGGTGGTCAGACTTGGTTGATGCATGTCATCGTATCTCAATTGCGTGGATCGATGCTGATGATATCAGTCACTGGATTGTCTGGTCCGAACTCGATTAAATACAGACCGCCGTCATATAGCTGGAATATTGCTGAGTGCGGCGTTAAACAACAAACAAAACAAAAAATATTACGAGCGTAGGTATGGCTTTAATAGTATACTTAAGTCATATCGCTGTGTGGTGGTTTGATGTTGGAGACAAGAGATGCAGGTCTTAGATGCCTTTAAGTTCATAACAGCTGCCAATACTAATGCCCTGACATAGTCCGTTTAACATATTAAAAATATATTGGTCTTTCCTTGGATGCCTCTTTGAAATAAAAAAGATATAAAGTGCGTCTGATGTGTCGAATGTTTTCTTAAAAGGTACAAATGTCGAAAGCATGTTTCATGTTTACCTGTTTTCAGTTTCATAGAGATGTATAAATATACATAAATATACATAAATATACATAAATATACATGTAAAACAAAACCCACAGCAGTTCTCAATTATCACAATCCATGCGACATCGTTTAACTTTTTATTCCATATGTTACGATATATATTATAATTTTATGACAAGTAATGATTTTCTTATGCAATACATTTCAGAATAAATTAATGCATCGATCTACTCAACTGGGATACGATCAACAAAGTCAGCGAGCCTGAACACCCGATCCCGTTAGTCGCCTCTTAGGACAAGTATAGTCGCCTTTTGCGGAAAGCATGGCTTGCTGAAGACCTATTCTATCCCAGATCTTCACATTAGTCTTAAAACATTGTGTAAGGGAGCAACCATTTGATTTCCATGGGGGCGTTTTTTCTTACAGAATAATGAAGCCCCAGTTTTGCTGACTAATTTTACATATGCCAGGCATTGTAGGAAAAACGTGATGTCCCCAGACAGTGTTTTGAAATATCAAGAAGTAAAATGTTAGTTTTAAGAAGAAACAACATAGATTTCTAAGTGACCACGCGTCTTAATTGAAAAAAAATAAGTGAATCCTAATCATAAGAAAATGCCGCCGAAGCCAAAATTGTGAAATTATAAACTTTTTAAATTTTCCATCAATGAATTTTCCTATCTCTCAAAATCAAACTTTAGATGAGAGATGTCATAAAATCGCCTCTGTAGCTGTAGGTGCCCAAACATGCTAAATGGTGTCTACTAATTCCGTCTGTATAATAATACCTTAATTATTTTTAGGCTCCGTTACAATATCAATAAATGGATTTTCGGTCATCAAGCCTTCAAATATTAGGCTTTATAAATGGGAAATCGAAATGATTGTTTCCGGTTAAATTGCCATGAATTGGAATACACAGTTTGCCAGACTCCCAGGCAGACAAGATTGTTACAGAAGAACAGTAATCCACAGCCACATCTTTGCTAGTTTCAGTTTTTTGTTCTCCCGAAGACGCAAAGCTGTTCAGCCGCGGTACGTACCGGAAGTTTGGACTATTGACTGACTGACACGACGACAGTCTGACAGGTTTGTGTTTCGGTCTTCGATTTCTCTTCTTTGGTTCGAGTTTTGTCAGTGACGCGATAGCATTAGTTTAGCATACAATGACAGTCTCAGATCTATAGAAATGATTATCAGCAGTAAGAAAAACACAGTTCGAAGGTAAGTGAAACCACATTGATGTTGTTGATATCTAAGCTACTGCCTGTAGATTACTTTGCCGGTCCTTAGGGTTTACATTTTGCAAGAGGGGGACTTGTTTGAAATGCTAATAATCGATTACATTACACTTAGACACATTGTCGTCTGTATATCATGGTTTTTCGGTTGCTCCAACCCCCAATTTAGAGTGTCATAGACTGTCATCGCAATGGGGACCGTCAAAGTACAAATATGCCTCCATTTTCTAACCATATCACCATGATACCTCTCTATCACGACCTACCCGTTTTTGTCGATCTAATTCTGCCAACACTAACGTTAACTTAGACTCTAGTCCAGCACTGTCATGTATTCTAACTGAATGCCTCGCTTCAAAACACTAATATTATAATTAACAATTGATGTTGGGTCTATTTTCAAATTTACCTCCACAATTTGACACTGATTACTGTTTGACGTCGTGACATGTCTTTACACGGTATGTGTAGAATATATCATATTCATGGACGTCTGTTATAAAATGAATTTGTTTTAGCATGGATACTGAAGATATTTATAGACACAAATATTTCGTCAGTTTCATATACTTATTCTTTGTATCCTGCTAATGTGAAAAAGTAATGTGTCTACATACACAGTTATCATTTTTATTCTTACAGTTGATGTGGTTCACATCTGGTATAAAAAATATTAATACAAAGTATTTCAGAAAAAAAAGTCCAATGTGTAATTTATCTCAGGTGTACACACTGTTACCTGGTTACACGCGGATTGTCTCAATACTGCATTGTCTGTCAGCGTAAACATGGTAAACAAAACAGGCTAGTCTGGGCATATTTAGGACCTCAGAATTATCTGGTGACTTGAAGCCTTTTGTCTACTGTTTTTTAACCATACCAATGATCGTGTTACTTGAAGTGGAAGATGTTTGCTATTATATGTTGTATACAGGCAATATTAGCTGTGCTATGACTTCAGTAAAGCTTCAAAGGCACTAGCCTGACTAGGGAAAAGAACTTTGAAACTTTGGTTAGTCATGAAGATGTACACATAGTATTTGTTACAGAGTGACTAAGCTTGTGTTGTTGGTTTGTTATATTTAGCTGTCATGGAAAATGTTGAGTTTACTAATGATACACAGAAGTACCATTGATTGGATATTTTAGTAATGTTTATTGACTCAAAAGTATCATGATTGATCAATATATTATATATCTAGTAGTAATAAAATTAATTATTCTGTACTGTCAAAACAATACAGTATCATTACTATCAACATTATGAATTTATCAACACATTAATATCGCAGTGTATACAGTGGCATCGCCATTCATAGTGTAATATGTATAATTTATTACCAACAAGGGCAAACATATCGGGGTTCATAAAAACCATTTGTGCCCTAGGGTCTTAACACGTCACAAGACAGTGTATTGTTTCCGTCATCCGGACAGCATTGTTAATGTCATTCAAATCTTATTTTGACGTAAGATCGGAATGATGTCACACTAGAAACATCAGAGCTGAAGATTGTTGACGTCATTCAACAAATTGTGTTTCTGCTGCTGTTGCGACTTTGCTGTTTACTATGTTTACATGTCCTAAACATAGTATGACATGAACAGTCACATGATATCCTCTGTGTGTCTCTAAGACACACAGTGTAAAGATGCCTGAGTGTTACAAATCAAGACCTGTGTGTCTCCACCTTGTTCTCCTCCCTCTTATCACAACCAATGACAAGGGATTAACATGATTGAGTTGGCTAATCTAGTTCATTTATGATGTGATAGTGATTGAATATGACTTTCAACTTGTTAAATGTAACATATGTCCTATTAATTAAAACAACTTTGATATCAGCTTGATAAGGGTATTGATGGTTATTGATATATGTGTGTGCACAGTACTGTAAATTATGTAGCGAAGTCAGTGAGTTGTCCAGGCACAGCACAGATGTATGAAGTGCAGGTTTGGCTGTGCCATATGGCTCCGACGCACAAAACATCATAGGTCATATTTACCACTCAAAACAAGTCAAAGAACAACCTCAATTAGATGGCTGTGTGTTGCAATACCCACAAGCTATGACAGTAGCGCTTTCAACACCAGTCAGCCAGAAGCTTTTACCATGTTTACTGCTGTGATTCCGAGTTGCCAAAGACTCTGGGGGTTATGAAGACAACTTTTTCAAAGAATTATTCGCCTGTAATACATCTTTGCTACTACATATTATACTCCATTTGAAAGGTCTAATCCTACTGTTTATAAATATGAATTTTATGTTTATCACTTTATTTATAACTTAATTTTTTAATAAAATGTTAGCTAAAGCATTTATAACGGCCAGGTTAAGCATCAAGGAAGCGAAAACTGTGACGATTGCAGCGTTGGAAATTGACACTAGTCCTGTAGTCCTTGCCAAACTGCCCAATAGTTAAGGTATCGTAAGGACTAGTAGAAATTTGCTATTTTTAAGGGTTTTTCTATTTGTTATCATTATAAGAACTAGTGGACTAAATATGTTAGTTTCTACCCCTGGATCGTGGGAAATTGTTAGATTTTTAAGGGTTTTTCTATTTGTTATCATTATAAGAACTAGTGGACTAAATATGTTAGTTTCTACCCCTGGATCGTGGGAAATTGTTAGATTATAATTATGATATCAACTTACCTATTTCTTTTTTATTTTCATTGTTTACGTAATTGGAAAATTATTTTAAAAAGAATATTAGATATTATCTATCATCACCCACTTCCTGATGACAGTGGCTTACCACTCAGTAGCATGAGAAGGTACAGAGAAATACCTCTATTTTGGAAGCTTTGTGTGTGCAATGATTCGTTCGATGTTTGGCGTCATAGAATGTTAATGACATCAATAATATGAGAGTAACCTCCCCTGAATTATTTCCATAGCTGTAATACCGGTATGCGATGTTATTGGATAAAAATTGGCTTCTAAAGACTCCATCTTGCCAAAATCTGCTGTATGGATCCTGATTGGTCAAAGTCAAGCATGTGACCTTGTTTTGGCATATATAAAAACCCAAGGTGTCAACTTTCATACTCAAGTCTTTACACAGGTGCCAACTTTCATACTCAAGTCTTTACACAGGTGCCAACTTTCATACTCAAATTTCTACACCTGCTAAATTTGATATCCTACCATGAATATCAGTTGTTCCATTGATTTACAACATGTGTACACGTTGTTTGCCCTGAACATGTTCATATGGTGGATAGTAGGGAAATACTATGAGGTGGTGGGTTAGTGCGTTTGCTCGTCAAGCTGAAGACCCAGGTTCTATTCCCTACTTGGGTACAAAGTGTGAAGCCCATTTCTGGCATCCCCTGCTGTGATATTGCTAAAAGTGACGTAATTTCATATTCACTCACTCACTGCACATATAATATGTATTTGTACATGATAATTCTTCAAGTCAGTATTGAAAGACCACATCCAATCACTGGTTATGAAAATGCCATATGTCAGTGTTATATTCTGATTATGAGTTTTTAAACTACAAGAATTATTATCAAAATAAAAGCTCTGCTGTGAAGAGATACACAAGAACTGAAGAAGGAATTTCTATCTACAATTGTCTTACTGCAGGTATAAAATTGTCAGAGTTATGAAAGGTAGATCGTCAGTTTAGTGTCTAAGTTTCATGAAACAAGTGTTCTGTAATCATTGTAAACAGTTTGCCTACACATCAACTTTTACAAATGGCATAAATGTTCTCAGTCAGTTTTCAATGTTTCCAATTATTTTACCTAAAAGACTGGGGTATCAAATTGATTAATTCACTTGCAAAACATTCATTGTCTTCTGACAGTACCACAAGTCCAAAGATCATTCGGACACAAAACCTTTTCTTATTCTGCAGCAGTACTTTGGAACATACTGCCACTGGCTCTCAGACTTCTCCTTCTCTGCCTAGACTAAAGACACGTACAGCTTTTCAAAATGTTCCACAGTGAACTCTCAATTACATCACAGAACTGTATATGATATTTTTGACCGTCTTAATAATTTTTTGTCAATCTGTTAAATAAATGGACAGATTTTTCAGTCAGTTTGTAAAATGACTGTAATATTTAGACATTTTATAAATTGCCTGAATGAATCACATTTTACACATTGACTGTAACATATACACGCTTACAAAGGAAAAGACTTGTGAAAACAACCTCCATTGCGCATCGAAGAACCTCCCAACCAAGATATGGAGGAACAAAAATGGTTCTGTTCAATGCTACAGCAAATGAATGAAAACAAAATGCAAATATCGTAATAAGAACCTACCAAAGTTATATGTATAATTTAAGGCAGCTTCCTTGTTCGAGGAATGTATCCGTGAATATCCACATAAAGGAACAATATCCCACACGTCTGCAGCTGTACAAAGAAACTTATTCAATGTCACATGTCTCTAACAATCAAATATTTTAAAATAAAATATTCGTTTCCAGAATATTATAACCCATGTTCATTTCTCAACTGATCATGCTGATCACTTAGTTTGTTTCAGTTGTTTCACATAGGTCTTAAGTCTCAAAGATCAGCTGAGAAAGCCCACGTGACAACTATTTTCATAATGTCCACGGTTCTTAAAAAAAATCCATTGAGTTAGATAGCAATGAGCAATCAATAAACTTATTATCGGTTAAACCTTTGAACAAAGTATGTTGTTTTTACATAGGCACTTCACGCCATGATATGAGTGTATTCCCTTTGTTTTAGTAAACCTAGACATGTAAACATTTACTTTTGACATATCAACTGTGCAAAATAACAGTGATTAATCAATCAACATATTTTCTGTTGACCCTTTGATGGCTAGGAATAAGTAAGTCAGCTGATCATTCATCTCTTGCTGGGCTGCAACGTGCATATTACATAACACACATTTTACCTAACTTCAAACCTGGATTTAGATTGAATAATTACCCCTGACACAAGAAATGCCGAATGGGAACCTTTATCAGGTAATCAG